TCAGCGATGGACAATACTTTAAATCATAAATGTATAACCAATTTTTTTTTACAATAAAGCCTCGAATTTCGGAAAAAAAACGGAGGAAGCAAAGTTGTACACCTAATACAAAGGAGACTTCAAATTTTTTTTTACACGGCGGTCCTCTTATTCTCTCTACTAATACTGGAGTTTCAAACTTTGCCTGGGGTATCCCAGACCCCAGTGTGTATACTTAGGGTTAATAATCAATAATTAACCTGAATAGAAATATATTAAAAAGATGAATTATATGCCACGTTAATTTACAACAAATTATTAATTGTTAAAGCAGAAGGGGAATGCACGGAATATCTTACAAATTTATTTAATCGATTACAAGTGTTACTTTATGGATATATATTTGTATTTCAATGTATGTTGCAAGAGTTTTTAGCATGCATTTTCTCACTTCTGACGCCATTAAAAAGAGATAGACAATGCGAAGGGTCAGAAGCCTTAATATAACTCAACAATTTAATGTGTCTATATAATATCTGCAGATTCTTTTATTCGTGATTCTGATTATAATATTACGTTGATTTTATTACTTTATTAAATACGATTATATAGTGAAAATATGTGTTGGATCCAAAGTGTATAACAAAAATAAAATATTTACTATCTTTTCAATATAATTTATTTTATAAAAATTAAGTACACAAAAAATGTGTGCTCGCGTGCACACGTGTGCATATGTAATGGTGTCATATACAGAGAAATATATAAATAATTGTTACTTCCAGGCAAGATGTATAAGGCACATATATATATTCCTTCCTATCGTTTGAAAACTATTCTAATATGTATATATACAATGTGTATATTTTCGCTAGCTTTATTATTGATTCACAAATGTGTTCGTGACACTTTATCAAGCCAAAATGATAAATAATTTATAAGGAAAGGTTTATACACATTCGTATTTACAGTTTCCGTCAGTTTTTTCAGATGACGCAAAATAACGATCAAGGTATCATTTTATCACTTCTCCATAGCAATATAAGAGTTAGCTAGACATAATTCAGATAAGAGAAGCGACCGTCAGAAATATTAGAACGTAATATTGCATGTCATTACAGATGACAATAAATTATAGGATCTTTGTCGCTAGGAAAACACTATCATAACAGGTATTATACGATAATGTTAACAATATATGACTCAAACATTATATTCATTATTGCATAAAAAGATATTTATAGCAACCATCGTAAAATGTGACGTTACTCTTTTTTTCAACGATTTCAGTAGTTAATAATATTGTACGTACGTAATATCTTAGATATTTCAAATAGCTCTTAAATCGAACCTTGTAAAAATATCGCAAAACCACGTATAAAATACGCACATCGCGTAAAAAGTTATATAAAAATTACTAGATAAATATTGTTCGGTGCTCACTAGTGCCCATTAAGTAGATATGTAACACAGTTAAATCAGTTACTTCGCAGGTACATTATTGAATGTCGTACCTACTTAACGGGCGTAAATTCTTACTAAAATGTTCTCTTATCAAAAGAAAAACCAAACATATGTTGTAAGGGATGCAACTCAGATCCGGATTTATTTTCTAGTCATTATGTACCATAAAATGGAACTATTTTGGCCGTCGTGAAAAATTAGTAAAATGCCGACGAGCGGAAGACTTATGTTTGTATTCACTTATACTAAATTTCAGGGAGTTGAACGTCAGAGGTTTCACGGTATCTGCAACATTATACGTCTTTTTCTTTACGTGCAAGCCGAAGTTACCCGCACGCGCGCCAAACTAATCCCAGTTCACAGTAGCGATACGTTTGAGCATAACTATTTAAGACACCCTGTATATAAAAATGTCTTGCAGCAGTCTCTCTCTCTTCATTGCGATAGCTGAAGCTAAATACAGTCTATAAGTTAAGTTCCAGAATCTCATTAAGATAACGTATATCGATATAAGTCACGTCTTTGTGTTATGTCCCGCCTGTGGAACTCTTCGCGGGAGGTCAGCCCGCAAATATTGCATCGCATCGCGAGACACTTTGTCCGTTCACGGCGACACCGCGCGTGTGGTCAAAGATCTTACCGTCTTACTAAAACAGACATAGCTACGATTCACAAACGTTGCTCGATAGGCAGCGGCCCTTGGAGTAGAGACGACGGCTCGCTACGTGACGTGGTGTTCACCACGTCAGATCCGGCCGTATCGCCGTTGTTATGGCTGTTGCTGTTGTTGTTTTGGCCGTTTAGAAACGACGTCATTTCCATCGACGACTGTTGTCCGCTCTGTTTAGAAACATGCGTGTTCGTTCGCTTCTTTCAGATCTAGAGCGTATAAGTAACGTACGTGTGTCGTGTGCGGAAAAACAAAAGAAAAGCGGCTCCAGAGAGAGAGTGCAGAGAGCGAGTAGAATTAAAGAGCAGCGCGCAACCAAATGCTAAAACTAGAAAAGACTAGTCTCCTTAATATTGAACAGTTTTTAATGTCAAATCTTTACATGTTTAAGACGAGCGCGGAAACAAATGTCGAGTGTTACATTTAGACGCGAGATCGTTAAATTTGTAAGAACATCGCAGTTGCAATTGTTGCATCATAGCCCTGATTATAATGTTAAATTTTGCTAGTCAGGCACTTCGAAAGACCGCACGTGATTCGGTATTTCAGTGTTAACTGTCATCCACTTTATCTGTTTACCGTTTAGCTTTTGACCAAACGGACTACTAAGTTCACGATACTAAACTTTGAAAAACTGTATTGGTAAACCTTTATTCTCCGACACCGACCATCGAGTTATCACGTCGAGTTTTTATATGCACGATTAATACGACGTTTTCTGCGCTCGTCTAAAATCGTATTGACTCCAGGGAGAAAAGTAAATGACTATGACTGAGATGAGCAATTATATGTTTCGAAAAAGTTGAGTACAATACACACAATCGTATATAAGGAATTGTGAAGCAACATTTAATACAATTTTATCACTTATCGAATGGAAAATTAAAGAAAAAAAAAGAATGAAGGAATTCAGTTCGATTACTTTCCTCCGACGAAATAAAAGCGCAGATGCTGTTACTTATAAATACTGACCTTAGGCTGTATTATGTCTTCGGATGCGTCAAGACCGGCAAGCGGATTGGACGTAATATTAATTTTGGAGTCCGTGACTCCACCGTTTATTACTCGTCCGTTTGCTATCGGCTTACCTGTTGTGCGAGCGAAAAAGAGAGGACGGTTATTCGTGTGCAAAATTGCATAAAGGATTGTATAGATCACATTTTATTCGTTTGTTATGTTGAAATTAATTAACGTACCTTCGTTCTGCGAAGATCCTCGACTCTGCTTATACTTCGCTTTCTTGTATATGATCGTTATTACGATCCCTACAAAGACCGACGCTACGAATACTATGGCAATTATGACGTATACACTGACACTTATGTTAGTTTCGCTCGGTTTTACTTTGTTTTCCGCCACCACTTGCTGAATCGGATGCTCGACGTTGATCTTCTTCGTTTTCTGCCTCAATATCTTGGAGAACTCCGATGCTGCGTCTACAGAGAAACTCTGAACTTTAAACTCGTACGTAGTGTCGGGTTGCAAGTGGGAGATGGTCATGTTATAAGCGTCCTTTCCTTCAACGGTGGTCTTCAAGTAATCGCCAGCTGATGTGGAAGCCCGATGATATATGTAGAATCCATCGATATTCGCTTCCTTGTCGGGATTCTCCCAAATTAGCAATACTTGATGCGGTCCTAACGCCTGAGTATTAGTCAACAGTGGTATCGGCATTTTACTATTCTCAGACACTCGATTGAGACGAAAACGCCCGGAGTTCGGGCTTAATTTATTATCATTATTCGAGTATACCGCGGCGATTCTGAATCGATATGTATAATCAGGCTGCAGGTCAGGCACTTCGAAGGACCGCACGTGATTCGGTATTTCAGTATTAGCTGTCATCCACTTAGTCTGTTTACCGTTTGGCTTTTGACCAAGCGGACTACTAAGTTCACGATACTGAACTTTGAAAAACTGTATTGGTAAACCTTTATTCTCCGGCACCGACCATCGTACCATGACGGAAGTATCAGATAGTCTTGTGACATTTGGCTGATTTGGAGGCACCAGGACTGCTGCAATTGTAAATAACACGTTATAATGTGTTAAATAAATACGTGAGACCTGTATCTTAATTTTATTGAGAGAGAGAGAGAGAGAGAGAGAGAGAGAGAGAGAGAGAGAGAAAGTGAAAGAGAGATTAAAACGACAGAATAAGAATTTTCATTGTTGATAGAGAAGCACAAAGAGGAAAAAGTAAAAAACTAAATCAAGAAATGTTCAATTCTTATGGTTAGTATTACTAATGGTGTATATATTTGTGTAATTTTTCATACGCAGCTATTTACTTTGTACGTAAACTGTTAACATGTTCGCTATATATATATGTTATATATATGTGATTTTTACCGGAGTGCACGTGTGTACGGCGGTAAAATTTTTTTTTATGTCCACATCATTAAGCTAAGTTTGTTTTACAAAATTACGTAAAAAAAACGAGGTAGACTGTGAGGTTGAGTCTTTTAAATAAACCGTGCCAGTGAACGTGTTAATTATTTATTATCCACGGCCAGCAAAAGCGTTACAATTGTCCACCAAAGGCCACGCCATTGAACTTATGGTGGACGGTAAGCGGAGAGAAGGAGTCTTTCGAAGGAAAAGTGGCAAAAACAACTGTCTTGCTCGCGCTGCCGCCTTCGGCGGCTTGCGAACTCTGGCTAGGGGCTCCGCCCCCTGGACCCCCACGCGAAAAGCCACGTTTGATCTTTTTCTCCTTTGCTTTTAATATATATGTATATATGTACGTATGTATATATGTATATATATGCGTGTGTATAAATCTCCGTCTGAAGAAACCTGTTCCGAAGGGCTTAATAAACGATATCTTAGCCAAATGTTTAATAATGATAATGATAACGGCGCGAGGTGCATGACGATAACATGATCAAAGCAAATAGTTACCCGTGCCTTTCCTTTTTCCCTCTTTATTTCTACGCCTACCACCGACTCTGGTGTGCTTATGTCTTGACAAGGAAATTCCGTAATCCGGCTTCGACTCTGTAGTGCCGCCGAAAATATGCTGTTTCGGGCTCACTCTTAGCAAGTTATACCCCGACGAATGCGATCCGTACTCGTTGCTGGCGACGCACTGAACGATCCCGGCGTGTTTCTTCTCGACGTCGGATATAAAGAGGGTAGTACCTTTGATCTCTTGATTTTTGCTAGGCATCAACGTCTCCCCATTGATAAGCCATTCTACGGTTGGCTCTGGCTCACCTGTCACAGTACATGACAGTTCCAATTCTCCACCCTCGGAGAACGTAGATGCCTTCGGCTGTTTCGTCACCTTAGGCGGCTCCATTACCCTTAGTATAATGACGGATTTGATTTGTCCCACGTTGTTGCTCCACACGCAATCGTACTCTCCTCGATCGGATGGTTGCACATGCACAATCGTCAAACCAGTGGACGATTTCTCCGATTTCAATGGCAGAGAGCTACCCAATCGACTCCAGGAGACACGCGGCACCGGATAACCGGCGCCGAAGCACTCCAACGTGATGTTCTTGTCGCGCACGACTGTGTACTCCGCTGTCGGCGACTGCTTGATGAGATATGGCTCCTGATTGCTGACGTTCGCGTGCACCGTCAAGATCGTCTTGTGCATGCTCGTGAACGTCTGTTGCGTAATGTAATTTTCTGCGTCGCAATGATACGAGCCGCTGTCCGTTAATTTGACATTTTTCATGACCATTGTCTTACTATTGACCAGATTCGCATCCTTGATGAGCATGTTGTTCTTGAAGAACATCACTATAGCCTCTGGCTCGGAGTACGGCATAGGACACGTGATGGGTACGGTGTTACCCTCCGCTACCTGGATAAAGACGTCACTCTTGTCGGAGAACTCTTGTATTATTGCAAGCGTCAGTCTCGCTGGATCGGACGCAAAACCGCTTGTACCTGCAAAAGGACCAAGAGGATGAGATCTTGATGCAAATCTTGCAACGCGCGCTTCGGTGCTCGAAACAATACCGCGTGTCTTGTATAACACCGAGGTCCAAAACATACCTTCTGCTACTTATTGAAATGAAATGAATCTAAAGGGCAGAGAGTATGGCCTAAAAGAGTCTAATCGCGGTTCTTTGATACAACTGCCAAAGAGAATTGTTCGTGGGAGACGATCTCGTTGTTTAAAACAAGTCTGACTTAAAAGAACCGCCATGACTAGGTTTTTATAGGCCGTATTCTCTTTGCTTTCGATTGTTTCTACAGAAAAACTTTCTTACATATATCTATAATATATTTACATGTACTTGTGAAATAACAAGTTCAAGCTTACCAAAAAATGCAATGCAACGATAGTCACCGGCTTTCAACACGTTGTTGAAATTGACAACAAGTCGCGACGTTTTCCCGCCACCGTTGGGATGCGACAATGGTATCCATTTGCGTGTGCCTAGCGGCCTGTGATGCCACGCGAAACTCTCCGCGGGGAGATTAAGGCTGCACTCGAAATTTACATCGTCATATAATGGAGCGGCTAGTGGCTGTGGGTGCCGAGTAAACGACATACCATCGTCTTTCTCTCCTGTGAATACCAGAGTAAGGTACATCTTATTATACCTCTCGACAACATTCGCGCAGCATTCAATTCACACACACACACACACACACACACATACATGTTTCCGAAACTTTAAATTCTTCTTCTTACTTAACTTGTATTTACGCATTATTGTTCAAATTTTTTAAGCTTCTGAGACTTACCGTGTATACAAGTAATCAGACCGTAAAGCAGGATTACGATAACGCCACATAAAGAGGGGATAGATGTCATCTTGACACATTCTGCAAGCATGAAGAACGGCTATACATTATGTTAACTAGGTATTTTGCGTAATATTCCTTTTTCCGATCTCGTTTGCGGGAAAGCAAATACGTGGCTCGGAGTGCCGGCGAAGGTCCACTAAAATTAATACCGACCAAGCATGTTTAAGTTTAGAACGTCGAGTTCACATGAAAATAGAACGCATTTTTCGCCCTAAAGATTAGGGACGGAATGACTGCCTATCATAGCAGTGGCTCTATCTCACACACTAAATGTATATATAAATATATAATTACAAATCTTATATATTACAAAATTGCTGCGCAACGGGTTGCATCGAATCTTTCCAACTATACTTTATGAAATTCACGCGTTTCAATTAATATTCAATTATTAAAGAAAAAGAAGAAAAAAGAAACACAATAATCGATACTATGTCAGAAATTTGGTCGCGCCATGTACGGTATTTAGAGATGTTACACTTCAGAGATGGAAGAATGTAACTCTGTAGTTAGGCGTGGGTGAAAAAGCGGACTTGAAGCGATTAGCAATAAATCGCATAAACGAGCGTTTCCCGCGAAAACGTAATGATGTGGAAAGCGAACCGGAGTGGCTGAGCTTGGGTGACGTGCGTGGATATCTAGAAAATATCCATATACGGCATTGAAAGTTGCTGTTTATTGCGCGAACCGTTTTACACCCACGTGCCGCTTACGACGGCCGTGAGCGGCCGTCAGAAAACCATACTCGCGCATATTGCGAAGAGTGACGGTGATCTTTTTATATTGAGTTAACGCGCCGGCATATCGCGCGTAGGTATAATCATTCACGCCGATCGACGTCGTATTCCGGCGAACTACGCTTACAAATTGTGGAACGAAGGAAATTCTAAAAACTATTGAGAACCGATTTTTCCAACCTCTCATATGTCTGTCTATGTTTTTCTATTTTAAATTAAACAAAGATATACGCATGATTTAACTGTTAGTTAGCTAAGAGGTTGAAACAATCGGTCCTAAGTCTATAAATATAAATAACACCTAACAGTAAATACATTAAAATTGCGTGAAATTTAGTGCTCTGCGCTAAAAAAAAAAAAGGAATGATCTTGCAGTCATGGAGAAAATTATCTGGATACGAGAAATGAACTATGACGAATAAATGACTAACAAACACTGCGATAGTGCTTATATTTTGCAATCAATATAGATGACAGAAACAGCTCAGACAGAAAAATCTATTGAAAGATGTCCAACTGTTTATGAAATTTGGCAAGAAAGTCTCTCCTGCGAGGCCCATCCAGATCAAAGCCACAGTCACGCTTTTTATAAGAATTGACTACGATAAATAAAAAAGAAAAGCGATGACAGTTGAATATGAGAAAAATAGTCGACCATGATTAGTCAATTTCTCATGCTTCAGAGTTTCACTACATCTACATTTAGCCGTATATCTAACGTTATTACGTGCAATGCAAATATACAGTAGCATGTAGTACTTTGATGATTAGAAGAAGCATAAGAAGAAAATTTGACAGAGAACAAGATGAAAAGAGTGAAGAGTAAAAAAGCGGGAGAGTGGAATAACAAGATTTCGGGAAATAAGAATCTCAAATTAGCATCTCTCTCGGTCTCAGATTAATCGTTCCGAGCAAACGAATTCGAAAAGTAATGGACGGGAAAGAGACGAAGAAGGGACGAAAAGGAGAGACAACGTGAGAGCGGCAGAACATAGGGAGCAGCATATCGCGACATGACAGTTCGCCGCGCATCGTTTTAGGAAGACTCTTAACTTCTGGTTAAATGGTAGCTTAAATGGCGGTGATATGTAACAGGTGAGAAGGGCTGCAAAGAGGCTGCTTTCTGATGTTACCTCTCGTAAAAATAAAGAAGCCAAATTCCAAAGCAGTGGTTGTCAAGGCTGGCTGGCCGCGGGTCGCTGCGACCAATGCGGTCATGCGCGCGCGTTACTTCTCTCGTGGCGCCACAATTACGAGCCTAATCTGTTCTTTCGGTGCGCGCTTTCGTATTAACGATGTGTAATCATCGTGTGCGGTCGTGTGTGGGGTACAGCGATTTTAATCGCGCTATTACGAAGGGAAACATCGCGGAATCTGCGGAATCGGAGCGCGTAATGCCGGGAATTAGCACGAATTGGATGGGTGTCAAATTGAGTGTTACATAATTGGTGCACTGATTCTTGCAGTCGATTTTGCCAACCTCTTGGTAAGCTAACTAACAGTTAACTTATACGATCAGTTTCTCCTTCAAATTAAACAAAGATAGATATATGATTTAACTGTTAGTTAGCTCACCGAGAGGTTGGAACGATCAGCCCTTAGTCGAATAATATTCAACGAGCTTTCGACCAACGACCTGCGCGTGGAATTTCTTTAGCTTAAGCTTGATTTTTCAGTTTCGATTTTACATAATATGGAACGCATTTACAGGCAGAGATAGAGAGAGAAAGAGAGAGAGAGAGAGAGAGAGAGAGAGAGAGAGAGAGAGAGAGAGAGAGAG